GGGCCGCGCCTCCTCCCCACACACCCCCTTACCTGCTTCAGGCTTCCCGCGACTCAAATGTTCGCGGGAAGCAGGGGAGGGGGTGGAGACTTTGGGGCGGGGGCGGGGTTGGGGCGGGGTTGGGGGCGGGGCTGGGGCCCCTTTAAAGTGTCCTCCTTTTGGAGGCACTAAATATGGTAACCCTACGTTCTACCAGCCACTGGGGACAGATCCCCATTGCATGTAAATCAGCATTACTCTGCTGGAGCCATGGGCCAGATCCCCAGCTGGTGTAAATTGGCCTCCCTCCACGGGAATATATAGGGCTCTGCCAGTGTACACCAGCCAAGGAGCTGGTCCCTGATTCTGCCCTTGTAAGTGCTGCAGGCAGAGGAGTTACCCCCGGGGTGAGTTTGGCCCAAAGGCTCAATGCAGCGAGGGGAGAACTAGGGGGACGGAGCCGGGCTCGGATCCCCGGGGTCTGGCACAAGAGGGTCTCCGTGAGCTGTGGGGTCTGACTCCTCTCCACTGCTGCTCGCCTGGCCTGTGCAATGGGGACAAGGAGAATCTGGGCCTGTCAGTGCCTCCAGGTGACACTCAGTGTGTGAGAAACACGACTGCAATGGCTGTGCCCAGCCCCCTACACCAGTCAAATGGGACATGACTGTTCCCCGAAGGAGCTCAGCCTGGCTCTGTCAGACCTGCCCAGTGTCACACACATCACGGGCATTTCACAGCCCTGTCACCCTGCGTAGAAGCTGTGTGTGTGGGCATGGACTCCCCACTCGGTGTCCTGGAGCCTGGGGGTGCACTTAGCTACAAGCCAGGAGACCCTGTGCTCTATGCCCAGCTCTTCCATTGAGTTTTATTAACTTCTCTCTTCACTTCACAACCCGTAGTACTATCCAAGAGCTCATGTCCCTGCAATTTAGGTGACAGTTGTCATTCACCCCTCGTATGGATAATGAAGGGTACACAGGGTCACTTGAGGTGGTGCTGGCATAGAGGGGAGGGTTCTCACATAGCAAACCCCAGTCTCATTCACTTTTTCTGGTGCCTTTAAGAGGAAATGTGCCAGATTTATGTGCTTGGCTATGCTGCCTCTAATACTAACTACAGTCTGTGCCCAGAGCCAGAAGAAAACCCAGGAGTCCTGGGAACCAACAACCCACTGCTGTCTAACTAACAGTTGTGTGACCAATAGACAATACAAAGTTCATGTCTGCAGCTATGGGCTGGTGCACACAGAGGATAACAACCTACTTCTGCCTGGCACCGCTGTCACTAAGCTATCTGCATCTGGATTCTTTCTGCCATTGCATGGACAATTGCACTTGCCGTGTTGATCACCCCTCTTACCAGTGATGCTGAGGTGCTGGGCAGGGCTGAGCTGGGATCTGTTCACCTGGTTGTTGCTGTCCTTGATCTCGTACCTGCAGGAGTAATTCCCGGTGCTACCCATGGACACTGGATGGACATAGTTGTAGGTGACCTCCTCCTCCGAACCCGTCTGGGACAAAACCTCCTCCCCGTCCTTACAGAAGATGACGCGGGTGACTGGGGCACGTGAGATCATGGAGCACTGGAGCCACACAGAGACCCCTGGCTGGGCGGACGTCTGGCTCAGGTAGAGGGTGGGGGCACTGAGAGCACCTGGAAAGGGGAATGAGTCAGAGCTGTCAATGGGGCTGTCGGTGGAGCCCTGTCCGTTTCAGCTGGAGTCCAGGGAGCAATTTGCTAAAGGAAGCTGGTTGCAGTGTTATGTCTACACTACAATCAGAAACCCACGGCTGACCCATGCCTGCTGACTCGACTCGCAGGGTTCAGGCTACGGGGCTGTTTACACAGCACGAGCCAGCCATGGGCCTCTCATTGCAGTGTAGACGTACTGTGCCTGCTCCAAGGCTGCGGGGTCTGTGCAATACCCCTGGAGCAGGCTCTTGTTTCAGCACAGCTGGGTACCGGGGGGATAATGTCAGATCTGAGACTATCAGCTCTTCGGGGGCAGGGACCAGAGCTTCACATAAGGGGGTGCAGCACCTGGTGTGATGGGGCCCTGATCCCTGAGTGGGGTGCCTGTGGTCACAGTAATAATAATAATCTTTAATAATAATCTTCTGTAGCTGGAAGCCTTTTCTATCAAGATAGATAGATAGATAGATAGATAGATAGATAGATAGATAGATAGATAGATAGATAGATAGATAGATAGATGGGTGAGTGTGTCTGGGGATGGACAGACAGATGGACTTACCAGGAGCTGAACAGATCTCCTGGCTGCTGGGACTAGGCTCTGGGAACAGAAAGGTGCCGTGTGGTTAGTGCTGGAAATAAAATCCCCCCTTTTCTGAGGTCCCTCTTCAGGGACAAAAACTGCCTTTAATAGACAGAGAAAACATTCCTGATTCATGTTTTGGTGAAGAAGCAAACCAGTCAGGACGTTAGATCTGGGGCAGGGCAGATTCCTCGCTCAGACCGACCTTGGCCGAGTTCGGACCATCTTTCCCTTCAGCTCTCTAGAGGGCCAGATCCTCAGCTGGCGTAAACCGGCATTGACTCCAGTGGAACTACACTGATTTACACCAGATGGGGATGTGTCTCCTCTGACCATAGTGGAGCGACATTCATTTATGCCAGCTGCGGATCTGGCCCAGGAGCTCTCACACTCTGTGTTTACATTGGTTCCCATTTGTCTCCCATTAAAGAGGATTTGCCGACAGTCGGGCCAGGGGCTGCTCTCGGTTCTGTTTTCTCCCAATCTGATACAAATTTGCACAGGATTCCCACATACTCACTGGGAAGCCAGAGGCACAGAGACAGCAACATCGGGTGCACTGGCAGGAATCTCAAGGGATGGAAACAGCCAAGCAGCATCTGCTGCTGCCAGGGTCAGCAGTGGACAATCAGCAGTGGCTCCCTGCTCCCACCTTCTGCCTTTGCCATGTCTGACTTCAGCAGAAGGGAAGCTCCGGTCTTTCTCTCTGCTCAGATCTGCCCCTCTCTGCTCCTCTTTGTAGGAAACTCCAGCCAGCTGCTCTCCCTGCTCCCAGGCCCCCTGGGGTCTGCAGGGCACAGGCAGCAGAGACGCTGAAGCCTCTCTCTGACCTGCTCTGTCCCCTCCTCGGGTCTGATATTTGTCACTGCTCCCTGTTTCCTGCCCCGTGCCGTCCCCTTTTCCCATTCTGGCCACAGCATCTCTATTTAGGGCTGGAAGACTGAGAATCAAAGGGGCCTGGTTTGCATGTTTGAGTCCAAACATATCACTGAGGAAACGCCTCCTGTCCCATCTCACTGCGTGGGGATGGAGACAGCCCCCTGGCTAAAGGCACAGCTGGGCCAGGGTGAAAGGTCACTGGGAGATTGAGGGGCCTGGGATGTTGGATGAGTCTGAACTTTTTGCCTCCACCCTGGTCTCCAGTCCCTGGTGAGAAGGACCCAGCTCCTCTAGGGGGTAATTCCCTCTGGGCTTAAAAGGACATAAATAGGGTCTGGGACTAATGCTGGACACTCTGCACAGGGGTGAATTTCCCCCTCAGAGAACAGCAACCGTGGGGCTGCACTGGCTTCCCCACCTGCTTAGTCTCCTCCACCCTGTCCTCCACACCGACTTCTGCACACCCTGCCTTGATTGCTGCTGCTGCCCATTCTGGGTTCCTGAGGAGTCTGCTGTCCCTGCTGAGTATAGGACACTCCCAGGTAGGGAAGAACAAAAGGCAGTTAGGAAAGAGTGTCCAGAAGTGACCTCTGAGTAGGTAGGGAGCTGGGATCAGGGTGACTAAGCAAAGTGGGGGAATCAGGGTAAAAGGTCAAAGGAACAGGAAAAAAAGAAAATCTTGTGAATAGATATTAACACCTATACGGGAGAACTCAGATGCTTGGAGGATCATGGAGGGCTCAGATGTTTGGGGAATGTTTTGGGGAATGGAATGATTGAGGGAACTCAAATGTTTGGTGGATGGTCAGGGAAACTCAGATGGTGAGGGGAGCTCAGATGTTGTGGATTGTTGGGGGACTCAGATGATCAGGGCATGATCAGGGGGCTCAGATATTGTGGATTTTTGTGGGCCTCAGATTTTGGGGGGATGGGCCAGGGGCTCAGATCTGCAGGGTGTGGTTGTTGGTTCAGATGCTGGGGATGGTTGGGGAAGCTCAGATGTTCAGGGGATGGTCAGGATGCTCAGATGTTTGAGAGATGGTCAGGTGGCTGCATCATCTTGACTGTGGATGCTGGAGATAGGTTTTGGAGGCATGGACCAGACCTGGGTCTGTGTTGCAGCAGACTAGCATGTCTGGCTCAACAAGGCAGGGTTCTGGAGTCCCAAGCTGGCAGTGGAAAATGGGCTCAGAGGTAACTTCAGCAGATCAGGTGACAGTCCCAAGGGGGTCTCTGTGACCGAACCCGTCACAGGTAGAACTTTAAGTATGGTGAATAAGGTTTTCAATAGACCTTCACTATATTAGATTTGGCTGTCTGGGTGGGAGCCAAAGGCTGGATTGCTCAAAGGGGACTATTGTTTGGCTTCTTGGTAACCAGTGTGATATTACAGAAGCTGTTTGGTTACTGGCTTGGTGAATCTAAAGATAGTTTTGGGGGTTGTCTGCCCTGTTCCTTGCAGTTTGCCGTGTGTAAGCATTCTCAGTGTGGCCCCTCTGGGCAACATGGTCACAGGAGCTCATATATTTGGGAGATGGTTGGGGGATATTGGTGATAGTTGCTGAGCTTAGTTGTTTCAGGGATAGACCAGGGGCTCAGATGTTTGGGGAATGCTTTGTGGAGCTCAGATGTTGGGGAAGGTTGGAGGAACTCAGATGTTCAGAGGATGGACAGGGAGCTCAGATATTTGGGGGACAGACCAAGGCCACAGATGTTCTAGGGTTCTTTGGAGGAGCTCAGATGTTTGGGGCATGCTAAGGGGAGCTCAGTTATTTGGTGGATGGTTTGGGGAACTCATGGTTGGGGGTTCAAATGTTTGGGAGAATAGTTTCAGGAGATCAGATGTTTGGGGGATGGTTGGGGAAACTTGGATTTGGGGGATTATTGGGAGGGTTCAGATGATCAGGGGATGATTTGGGGACAGGGCCGGCTCTAGCATTTCTGCCGCCCCAAGCGGAAAAAAAAAAAAAGCCGCGATTGCGGCAGCAATTGGGGGGGGGGGGGAGGGCCGTGATTGGCAGCAGCAGTTCAGCGGCAGGTCCTTCGCTCCTAGAAGGAGTGAGGGACCTGCCGCCCCCGAATTGCCGCAGGTGCCGCCCCTCTCCCTTGGCCGCCCCAAGCACCTGCTTGTTAAGCTGGTGCCTGGAGCCAGCCCTGTTTGGGGAGAAAGATCTCAGGGGAGATCACGTGCAGAGGGCACATTCCCACAGTGGGAGGCCTAAGTGATGGAAACTATTGGGGAGGCTCATCCCTTTACCCAGCACAGCCCTGAGCGGTTGGAGGAGCAGGGAACAGCCCAGGTTTGCTCAGGCTGCACCTGGATTCTGTGCAAAGGCCTCACAAGAGCCAATGACAGACACAGCAGCCCAGACCCTATTGCCCCTCTCCAGTGTGGCTGGCAGTTCACCACGGAGGCTCAGATTTCTGGGGTCTGGCCCAAGAACCATCTCCTTTAGCTATCAGGTCTGACTCCTCTCCACTGCTGCTCGCCTGGCCTGTGCAATGAGGATGTGGAGATTCTGGGCCTGCCAGTGCCTCCAGGTGACACTCAGTGTGTGAGAAACGCGGCTGCGATGGCTGAGCCCAGCCCTCTGCACCAGTCAAATGGGACATGACTGTTCCCTGAATGGAAACCTCCCCAAAAGAGATTGCTGAGTGGCTCAATCAGTCCAGCCAAGTGCAATGCACTTTATGGGCATTTGTCAGCCCTGTCCCCCCTGTGTAGGAGCTGTGGGTGTGGGCATGGACTCCCCACACGGAGTCCTGGAGCCTGGGGATGACTCTCAGCTATAAGCCAGGAGACTCCGTGCTCTAGGCCCAGCTCTTCCACTGACTGCTAGTAACTCCTCTCTGCACTTCACAGCCACTAGCTCATGCCGCTATGGTATAGGTCACAGCTGTCATTCACCCCTTTTACAGATAAGGAAAAGTTGCACAAGGTCACATGAGGCAGTGCTGGGATTAGAAGGGAGGTTTTCACACAGCAAACACCAGTCAAATCCACTTTGTCTTGGTGCCTTTAAGTGGGAATGTGCCAGTTTTATGTGCTTGGCTATGCTGACTCTAATACTAACCACAATCTGCTCCCAGAGCCAGGAAGCGAACCCAGGAGTCCTGGGAACCAATAACCCACTGCTGTCTCACTAACAGTTGTGTGACTGACAGACAAAGTGAGTGTCATGTCTGCAACTAGAGGCTGATGCATACAGATGATAACAACGTACTTCTTCTGCCTGACACCCCTGTTGCTCAGGTATCTGCAGGTGGATTCTCTCTCTCTGCCATTTCATGGACAATTGTACTCACTCTGCCATTCACTCTCCTTACCGGTAATACTGAGGTGCTTGGCAGGGCTGAGCTGGGATCCGTTCATCCGGTTATTGCTGTCTTTGATCTCGTACCCACAAGAGTAATTCCCAGAGCTGTGCATGGACACAACATGGTCCCAGCTGTAGATGGTCTTCTCCTCTGAGCCCTTCTGGGATGTAACCTCCTCCC